CTGCCTGGCTTGTGGCCGATGGTAGCAAACCGAAGAGCACCGGAAGGTACCCTCCCACTGTCAGTGACAATGCGTGGTGCCCGTGCTCTGCGCCAATCGAGCTGTGGGTTTATAACCCGTAGACTTGTATTCCATGGCTAAGTTTTAAAGGAAGGGCCATCGATCTCTCCCTAACCTCCGAAGAGGATCGACTTATCCACATCTGAATGTAACCAACTTCCTTGTAGCATTATAATACTTGTGTTTGCATATTCTTTACACTGAGTAGTGGCACTGAGCTTGGCATTTCTGTCAAATAGCGAGTGCACGTTGATAGAAAACATGAACGTAATTGGCGCCTTATTAGTGGGGCTGTGTCTAAGTCCATTTTGCCACGTTGCTTTCATTTTACTAAAGCGTTTTTTTAATCCGCATACGCAGCATCTGGGAACAATCCCAAATTGTCTGCAGTATGTGCTAACATTGTTTACCTCAGCATGATCCAGCTAAACAAAATTACGAGATCAGCACGACAAAATTAATATAACAGCAGTAGATAGAGTAACAGTGGAACTCTAATGAGAAACAGCAATGGCCTATTTAAAGACCCTGATTCCCTATAGAGCTTGCCGCCTGGCTGATTGACGGACCATTTTCGAGAGCAGTTCAATTGGCTTCCTGCTCTTGGATCTCTCCCTGTTCAGATAACGCAGGCTGTCATAGCGATTTAATTTAGAAGCTTCGTCAGAAACTGAATTCCGAAACGCGTTCACAGCCCCGAATCGTATTCTAGCCTTTGGTGCGGATTCCATTTAATTCGCAATACTTAAGGATGATGGTGAAGTCCTTTGGTAAGCACCGCACTTCTTGTTCCAATATGTCTGGGATGAAGAGACCATCTCAGCTAACTGGAGGGAATCGATCATAGCGGCAAAATACAAGACGAGCAGTCGCATTGTGTCTGGAAATCAACTTCTCAGTCAAGGAAGTCATCCGCAGTACTCCGGTATCGACGCTTCGCTGCCACGCGACCACCACATGTGGCGCGTATGCTGAGTATGCCGCGAGGACGCCCGCCTCTACGCGGATTCGAAACGGTGACCTAAGGATTGCAAGCCAAGCGTGCAATCCATTCGGCCACCTACCGACATTGGTACCGGTTTCCTTTACTCTGTGTTTTCCTTTTGCTCACTTCATTGTGGTCCACATATTCTATCGATCGTTCTTTGGAGCCACTGTACTTTGAATATTGCTGATCACTTTTTCTTTTGTTCGGAGCGGCAGTAAAACGAGTGATTCGAGCGATAATCCGAGGCGCTTTCGATATGTAACACATTGACTGTCCTAACCACAGCGGTGTTCGCCTGACGCCGACGGTGACCTAATTACTGATGTCATTTCTCGTTCGTCGCCTCACTGTGGAATGGGAATTCCGGAGTAATGAATAACAAGCAGGGGCACGCCCAGAGCGAAGCTGTATAGACGACATATTTACTTTGTGGCATGTGTTAGAACAGCGTCACACGTATCGCAGCTCGATACTAGCTGTGTTTCTCGACTAATAGCCTGCTCGACTCAGTCCATCGATCCATTCTGTTCGAACTACTTGCGTTACAAGGTGTTTTCATGAAATATGTGCTTATTTACATGCCTTGTATTCTAACAGACTGCGTCCGAGTCTACGTTGACTAGTCGGTTTTATCACGTAATACGGATATCTGGTCACCGCTTACTGATGAGGGCCCATTTAGCTTACCGGATGTAGGATGGTACAAAGCTCAAGGTGAACGGAAGTCAACTTGGTAGCGGAAAATAACCTAACTAATGACTTAACTGGGTGATGTTGGTCCGTCTCGCATCCCAGGCTGGAGTTCACGCTACTCGCCTTGTGCTTGGCTCGAGACATTGCAGACCATAACTCTCAGTCCACACCAGTGTCGTGTCTTCTGTGGTCTCCTAGTCAGGCTGTCCGTTTAAAGTCTGCTTGAAATGAAATGAATGAAATGTGTCAGCTTATACGCCGTAACGGCGCTTCGCTGCCGCGCGACCACCACCAGTCGCGCGCGGGCTGAGTATACCGCGAGGACGCCCACCCCTACGCGGATTCGAACCGGTGACCTTATGGTTGCAAAGCAAACGTGCAGACCACTCGGCCACCGGCCGCAAGGATGCCGTCATGCCAATACCGCGTTATTTTGCATATAGCCGGCTGTCTGTGACGCTCTCTTATTGACAAGGTGTAAGCACTTTTTTCCTGAATGTTTGCTTATGACGTGTATATTTTACGCTAGGTCCCCTTCCTTCCGTAGGTCGCTGTGGTCCCACGGCAACGAATCGGTAAGTTCAAATAACTGATGTATTGCTGTTGGTGGTGAGGATGGTGGGAGTTCGTCTTCCCCAGGGTCTTTATAGCGCTTTAGAAGATCAGTCCCATAAGCAACCTCGGCCACAAATGGTGGCGCGTTGTCTACACACGAGGGAATGCTGTGGATGCTGTGAATGAGAACTCATCGGTTCTGCAGGTCAGTTGAACTGCTCTTCAAAGTGCCCATCCCAACATGCAAGTCGGCGTTGTTGTCAGTGAATTGGCTCGTTGTTGCTTTCGCATAACACTTCACTTTCAGTTGGCCTTCTGTCGCCAGTGGATTGGATCAGGAGGAAAAGCTTACGGAAATTCCCCAAAGCGGCCACTTGCTCCATCTCAATATCCACTGCGTCCACCAGACGTCGCGATCTTCTTGAAGAAGCTGGTTGAGTCCATTGTTGGTAATCCTACAGAGCGAATCATACGCCAGCGGGAATAGTCCGACGAGCTTCAAGGGGCTCGAGTGATCGTGCAGAAATCCAATGGTTTATAGGACTACTAGTGAAACGACAAACGATGGTTGAATAGTTATGCCTTGAGCTACGAATGTGTGCCCATTACATTTCAAGGTCCGAGCACTGCACACTCTTGAGGCCTAAGACGAACGGATCTTAACAGCCGCTGAGTACAATAGGGGCAAAAAGTTTTGTCACCACTCGTTCCCAGTGACTTCTTTGGTAGCCATCAAAACGTCGAGCAATCTTAACGCTCGCTTGCGCATGATCCGAAGTGCGATTTGTACCCTAGATGGATTTGCAGTCCCGTATGAAACCTTACCAGCGGCAACTGGTGGCGATGTGAGTAATTTGCATCCAGTTGGCCGGATGATAGTGGCCTCCAGGTGGCGCGTTGGTGGTAGAATCGTCGAAAAAAATGGGCCTTGATTGTCGCAGAGCTGAAGTAGGCGATCACCGTTGTTTGTTCTGCGAGTACCGTGGCCATGTTCACCACCGAGTTTACACTCGTCAACCTTAAGTCTGTCGACCTGCGCGTTTATGTCTCCGACAAGCACCACGATGCCCGTGCAACACTTTTTTCAGAGACCGGGTAGTTGATAGCTGAACTCACCTTCAACTGAGATGGGGCTGCAGTCTGGGCGAGCATCTTACTGAGGTTTCAAGTCTGATCGCGCAGAATCGGTTGTTAACAGGGATCCAGTCGAGTAACAGTCTCGGCACATGTGCTTAATACCATCCCGACGCAGGCATAACTAGTGTCTCTGACAATGGGAAATCAGCTGTGGCGTCGTGCTTGAGTTTTGTCAATTTGTGTCATTGCGACAGCAGCTGCCAGTGACAGTAGTTTTTAGAGTGCCGACAAGGGCTATTTGTGATCTGCTCCGAATCAGCGTCTGAACATTAAAAATGTTCAGACGCTAGCTAGTCTGAAGTAGAAACGTAGCGCTAGAAAAGACTTGCCAGTATGATTGGCCGGCACGTCCTCGAAAATAAACTGATGCATGATGGTGAGGTCCTTTGCTAAACACCGCACTTCTTGTTCCATCATGCCTGTAAGGAAGAGACCATCCAAGCTAACTGGAGGGAATCGATCACAGTGGCAAAATACAAGATGGGCACTCTCGCCCAAGATAGCCCAGTGTTGTGAATTCGGAAACAGTGGGCGGTTACCAAGGTTGGGAAGATTGAGCAAATGCAGGTTTAAGTAACTGGCCAGTAATATGGTAGGGCGCGGTATATTAGAGTTGGCCGCCAGCACGGCCGAAGTTAGCAGTACCAGCAAGCGTATATCATGAGCAGATAAGCGTTGAGACACCGGTACATAGGTTGCACACCCCGGGGAAGTGGGTTGTATTAGGGGACCGCATCCGGTGTCTTGAAGCGTGAGAACTGATCCACGAAGCAGCTAGGCAATCAACGTTTATGGCGGACAGTTGTTAGCTGGTTGTCACAGTGAGGATAACACGGTTTCTGAACAGAAATAAATTACTGTGGGCGCTCAAAGAGCCCAGACAGAGAAAGCTTCCTGGACAACCTATATCTTGACCAGGTTTGATGGCCATTGACATCCAGGTGGCTCATATACCTTCCTAGAGTTCCAATCTCACAAAAAGTTAGTGGCCGTCGAGTTATGTACTGATTTTTGGTTACAACAGTGAGCCGTTAGTAATCCAATGGCTTTTCACCTTATCCTTGATACAGCGCCGTACAAGCACTCGACTTGTTTATTTGGGAGTCAAGTTACCAAACCAGAACTCCTCAAGCTCTAGGATGCTACTGTCGATTGTCCGACTGTTTATTTATCTCCCCTGCGGACGGACGAGAGCTATACACAGTTACCTTTGCACAGAAGGTTTTCCCCGATTCGCAACCTAGGGACGCGCTCAGTAGCGTACAGTTCCGCCGAACTAACCAATGATCGGTTCATTTCCGGGGAGAGTGTGAGGTGTATGCTTGGAGTACACCGCTTCCTCTTCATAAAAAGTATGGACCGATGTAGCTGCATTTAGGTGAACTCTCTTTACTATTCGTCTTATACTTTTGTCTTACTGCTCTATGTCCTCCAGGCTATTTGAGAAGGTGCGTAGTAGATGGCTTTCACTAGTATTCCAAGTTCTTAGTTAAATTTGCCTGTTGAAATGTCTGAAGTCAGTTCTTTTACACTCGGCTTCATCTGAATATTTCTTTTTTTTCCGCAGGTATTGCCAGCGACTTGTTTTGCCCTCGGGTACTGGCAAATAGGTCGGCGAAAATGGAAACTGGATCTCATCGCTCAGTTGGAAAATAACATACATACCGCACCACTCAGCCTACCATCCAGGTTGTATTACTGCGATCCGTTCTGTACAATGTTCTCCTTCTGTCTTACAGTGCATTTAAAAGCTCTGATCTGTCCGAGTACTGCCCTGTTACTGTGAGTGGACACTTCGACCACACTCGGGAAGCATTTATTGGGCCAAGACCTCTGATTACTGACCGAATTCCTCCTTTGGAGCATAATCGTCAGTTTTTCAAACCAAAATCAACGGAACGAAAAATCGATCCGTTCTATCATTATAAAGCTCCAACCTCCACCGGTTACTTTGTAGTCACTCCATTCTTTCTAGAAGATAGACCCGGGTAAATCTTGGCAGCTTATCTAATGTGTGACATTTGACAGCATCAGCATTTTGGTTAATCGTGGCTGGGTTCCTTCATCCTATCTCGACCCGGCGCTTCGCATCAACGGTCAGGTGAGTGATCCTGTCTACTTTAGCGATCCACTGCAATAGATTCGTTAACTTTTGCTTGGAATCAGTTACTTGCTTTCTAATCACGTTTCGCAGCGCAGCTGTGTAGCATTTGCTTGTTCCCTCGAATGAATCATGCGAAAAGACGCATTTCTCCAACTTATTTTCTTAACGATAGGAGTTTTGATGGTCTTCTTAAACTTGTGTTCACTTCTTGGTCACAGCTTGGCAAGATATATGTAGACACGGTGTACCGGATTTGCCAAATGAACGACGGAAACGTTACGGTTATTGCCAGTGACTTGGCTCGGTGAAATTATAGTAAGGGTGGACGCTTGCTTCGGTTGTGTTGTTTTTTTACGCCCATCCTTAAAGGCATATTTAGGACCGTGTTTCGAGGAAGCTTTCAATGGGCCGATTGCTTTGCTTATTCACTACATCGTCTTTGAATTACATTCATGCCTTTTCATCCCAACCGTCTCTGTTTTGTGATTCGTTCTGTAGTATCCCTCACTTGAACGTCTGCAAACTTACCGTACTTTTGCTCAATCCTCGGGTCGCCCACTTTCCTCGTCCTCTTTATTCCCATACTGGCTACTGTATATCTCCTTGTGAGTCCTATCGCAGTCTTGGTCGAGTATTTGAGTCGGTTTTCAAAACTATGCAACCGGCCCGAAACCATTGTGCTATTATCTGCACCCTCGCTACTCCCCATTCAAACTTCAGCTGTCCGCCCTTACATTAATAATGAGCGCGAAATATGTTTCTGCATTTTACGACGAACAGCCCCTACAAATGGACTGCATATTTTGTCAACCGGAATCACGTTATTCCTTGATTTTGCTACTCTAAATTGACTTCTACAGTTGCCAATCAGCAAGACTAGAAATTATCCAACATATTCGACCTGTAATGGAGCTAGACTACTAGTTTTGCTTTGAAAATATGTAACGGTCATGCGCTTCCTCATTCACCGCATGTTCTCTTTCTCACTTTTAAATTAGCACCTAAATGTTCTTCTTGAGTTCAGGAACAGCGCATATTGAGTTGATGTGGCTGCCATAACCATTCCATGGTGCTTCTGCAGCGATGTCGACTCATCATAGCTTGAAGCTGATACTGCAGATGCACATTCGGTTGATAGGAAAATCTCATATTGCTTATTTCTATCTTTCCCTTTGTGGATCAGTCGTGTGCCAATTACCTCATCGAACTTATCTATTGGTTCTACCATAATCTCTAGGTTTGTGTATCTTTCAGATCCCGACTCATGAGATATGATTACGTTTTCTCAGTTGAATTGCCCAATTGACATTGCTGTTGGCAGTCGAACTGTTCGCTGAGCCTGGCAAGTTTGTTGCAAACGTTTCGTCACCAGTCGAGGTGACATCATCAGTGCGTAGTTTGTAGCAAATAGCATAGCGCTTGGCACCATTATATCACGTTGGGCCACATGTTACGCTGCTTGCACACCGAATCCTGCGATGTGTTATTTGCACGCCAGGGGGATGGAGGTTAGAAGAGGAGGGGAGGCCAAGCGATGACTTGATCAAGAGGAATAAACTCCCTCACTTCGAATTTGGCATCGTTTGGTGTTTCTCGACTGCCGAGCTGGGGCCGATAAATATGTTTGCTTGGATACACTAGTGGAAATGACGAAGAGCCGACCTCAGTTGCGTTTGTTTTGTGAGACTCTTTATCCCTCTCCTTTAGCTTCCCCTCCAACAGCGATCTCAAACCTTGTGCGTAAGTTGATATTCGGCATTATGCTACTTTATGGCTTTTTTAGTCTCTATTGTTTACTCTCTTATCTTTTCCGTATTACAGCACATTAGTTGAGGTGTGTCTCTCACCCGCGACTAACGTGTGTTGATGATGAAGGTCTCATCCTCGGAGTTAAATATGGTAACGCTAACAGCTCAATCAGCCAACACAAGCTCCACCTCTAGGCCGAAGAAGCGAGCCAGACGCTCCAACCCCACTGCAGTATCTGTGTCCCCAAATCCTCTGACTCATTTTACTCCCATAAACCGGCAAGCGGCAAACTCGCTTGCTTCCACTCTTTCCAGCGATGCAGCCCACACCAACTCAGTGGCGATAATGGCAGCTCCGAGTCCGAGCTCGCCCACCATCGAGAATAGTCGGACATCGTACGCATCAGTCGCCTCCATGCAAACACTGGAGATAATACCCCTGACTCCGGTAGCAGCACCGAACAATTTTAGGGTGGTAGTCTCCACAGGCAACTAAACCTTTTTAAACGGTATCTATTAATACCCTCAAATCTACAGTCAACAGAAGAAATCACGGAACTTTAACTGTTGTTTTCATCAACGTTGCAGTATCGCAGCATAGAAACATAAAGGGGAAGCTGATTGACGACCGTAATTAGTGGAAGTCCATTTATGGTGCGACTGGCATTTCGTTTGAGCCCACGACACTGGGACAGGTCACACGTCACCCAAATTCAGTGCATTACGGCGCATTTCGAGTCCTCCGGGTGACACAGAGTTCCGCTGAAGATACAGAGGTCGTCCTACTGTTTTCGATTCGTTTCCGTAACTTATTACATGTAGTGCGCATACTTTCGTACATCCTTTGGAACGAATGTCCGAAAGTGAATAGCAACCTTGAAGAAGTTCATCCATCTGAAGAAAAACAGGCAATTATTGTTTGCGACGTTGTTGAGCTTCAAACATCCTCTGAGGAAGCCAAGCTACACGACCTGGAGCGATGAAGTCACATCCGCCAGGAACTCTCCCTCGAAAGTATCATTGCAAAGCAGTAAGTGGCGAATATTAGAGAAAGCACCTCGAGCATTTGCTATATGGATCGTGGTTATCGCCGAGCTGTACCCTTAAAGATCACAAACCTGCTTGCTAATCTGAGTGCACGGATTCGAGCCTGCCTAAATACCGGGCGACCCTCGCAGTATCCTCAACTCACGTGCGACTGGTGGTGGTTGCGCAGTAGCGAGGCGTCGGTACGGCGTACCGACGTACTGCTGATGTATCGTGATGTTATCTTCGATCCAACGGTCATTGATACAAATACCCGACTTTTTCAACGGGTTCTAACTGATCCTTACCTGGGATTATCACAGTGAGTGGTCCCTACCCATTTTAAAGAATTATTTTTCATTTCGAAGGTGCAAAACATAGCCCGAAACGATTGATAGTCAGTGTTACTCTTTTCACTGCTCGTCAGCATACTCCAACTAGAAGTCACTTACATGGGAACAGATCCACATTGAACCACTAGATAGTGAGATCGTAACTTATCATCTATCCATACTTTCGACTGTTTAGATAATGGCATCCTTCTCCAAAGACTGCAAACCTAAGATATTGGGAACCCTGACCCTAGATGAATCGGAAACGTCCTCAGCTTCGGGTTCGGCCGTCGCAACGAGACTGAACCTTAACGTAGTGCGACGGTTTGTGTACCTCTTTGACCCATTGAGCTATACTGAGTGTGCCTCCGGGCCCCTTAAGAGCTACTCCTACCAGGTTGGTCAATGGTTAGCGGTCAGGCAAACTCAGTGTCCTTGTCCTCCAGGTTGGGGGTTTGAAATGGGATGGCGTCCATTTCTCTAAAACTAAATCATTGTCATCTCGCTGCTGCCTGGCGGACAGGCTTTTGAGCCAAAGGCTTTGGTTGAAAATTTGAATCGTCCTCCTGTCTAAGTCTGGGCACCCTGGCAGTATCTCAGCTCAAATATCACCACGATAATTTATCCAAACTCTCACTACCCTCATCGGCCGTCGCATTGATTATCAAGAGTCGCCTTATCCGCTGCATACAGCAGGGCGCATAATCGAAAACATGCTACTGCTGACGTCTCCCTTCTTTCTTTTCCACCTGTTTCTCTTACTTCCATCCCAACCCCCATTACTAATCTTCCTTCTATACTTCTCATCTTAAGTGACAGCAACCGAAGTGCCACTGGAGTAGAACCATCTGCAGCCACCTTCTCGCGACACGCACCGGATGCCTATTAGCAACAGTCCCTTATAAGGCCACACTGTCCCGCTTCCATGGTGACGTTCAACGTTCCCACCTTAAGACAAATAGGTCAATATGCTGCACTTGCACGCACCTTGCACACAGTGGGTATTGATGTGTGTTGTGTGTTCGTAACTAGCATCAATGACCGTAATGTGGTTGTCGAATTAACTGCACCCGGCTTATCTTCTCGTTATTGGTTGCACGCATCCGGAGACGCTGGTGCAACTCTCATGGCTCAAGCTGGTTTAGGTATCATTCTCAGCTCCAAGCCTGAACCATCGTTGGTTGATTAGATTCCGGTGAACAGCCACTTGTGTGCAGCTCGTTTGACGACATCAGCTAACGTGGATTCACGAAGTAATACAAAATGCTGTTTGCTTGTGATTTCCGTTTATGCTCCCACCGACTGCAGTTCTAATGCTGTCAAGGACACATTCTATGACAAACTGAACGTGCTACTACGCAGTGTTACTAGTTCAGCTATTATAGTACTTGCAGGGTATATGAACGCACAAGTAGGGCGTCTGAGTTCTTCAGGAGCTCAGCTGGGTCGTAATTATGGGCCTTACTCCGAACGGACTGACAAAGGTGAGCGTCTGCTACAACTGTGTGCGGAGCACCAGTTGTTTCTTAGTAGCATCGCTTTTAGACACAGTGGGCGCCGAAGTGCCACTTGGCATCTTCCTATAGCTGGCCAGCGATGGACCCAAATTGACTACGTAGCCATAAGTTACAGGTGGCGTGGTTCCATCCTGGATTGCCGCTCGTACTGGAGTACCTGTGTGGACTCTGATCATGCCTTGGTACGCTGTCGTTTCTCCATGAACTTTACCGGGAGGCGCACCAAGCGTATCCTCCAATTGGCAACTGAGAAATTGTCTCAGCCCTCGGTCAGGCAGGCTTACCAAGACCCACTGCGTATCGAACTATCGCTTTCCTGTCCTAATGACACTGAGCTTTAGTGGAATAGTATCTCGGCCGCCATGCATGACGCG